CTGCAACACCAGCACTGCCCAACCCAAACTGGTGCTACAGGTGCAGTGCCACTGCACTAACAAGATCAATGTAATCTGCTATCTTCAAATGGCACCAGCCAAGAAGCTTTTGCAAGTTTCTAGTTCTGCTCCTAGGCACATCTATTCTACTTCACACAGATTTATTCTTAGAGCTACTAAATAACACCAGGCCTTCTCACTCCCAGGCCCTGTTCTAGACCTGCCAGCCTTACTGGATCTGGAAAGCAACTTAAGGCTAAATCTCCTGCTTTCTGAACCCAAAGTCAACTCATTCCCCACCTCTAATCTTTCCCATTGATCATTTCTCCTCTACAACCTTTAGAGCTTCTAGCCTTGTGTCTCTTAGGAAATCAGCCCTCAAAACCAGGCCAGCACATCTGGCAAGATCCAGCAGTCATCCATGCCCATCAGCTCCTCCTGCTTCTGAACTAGCCTTCTCTGGAGGTAACAGCCTAAGGACTCCAGCCCATCTGAGAACACAGTGTTAACATAATAGTGACCTACAATGAACACGTGGTGCCTGCAACCTACCAATAAACCAAGCCTACATTTCCTTCTGCTTTCCTGTGCCCCAGTCTTAACTATGGTCATTATAGTTTTATAGCTATTATATGACCTCAAAATAAACACTAGGTTTTAATCTCCTCCTTGGTTTTAGGATCAGGAAGCCACTTAGCTTGTATGGCCAGGCAAGTTTCCAATGCTACCTCTCTGTTCTTTATCCCTAACACCAACACAGACAACTTCACACAACTTTCAGGAATTAGATGAGTAAACAGCTACATTTGCTTTTTTATCCCCCTCCAGAACTACTTTAAACCCTGTTGTGTTATCTGATCCACACTTTTTTTTTTTTACCCTTTAGTATTGTCAGAAAGGATTTCTTCTCTCTCAGTATAATCTAAGTTTTTTTAAGATACTTATCTCCATCTGTAAGAGACAACTCACATACCTGGTTTCAGCATTTGAAGTTAAGTGCCAGTCAGTCACCTTGAGCTTCCTCTGTAGTCAATGGAAATAATTAGACACCTTGGGAGGATGATTCAACTCATTCTAAGATACTTATCTAACACAAGGCATATGAATGGTCCTGTGAGGCTGTGTATTTCTTTCCACTGGATATAAAGGGACTCAGAGGAAAAAAAGTCCATTTAAATGTTTAACTGTAGATTTTTAAATTAAGCAAAATTCATCCTTCTGTTGTTCTTGAGCTTTCCTCTTTAACAACATTGCAACACTTGAACATTTTAATATATTATTCATATAGAAGGCAAACACATGGAAGCCACTGCAGCCACTGCCACTACTGATGATGAAGAACAAAATTAAATTCCTGATGTCAAAGGAGGAGTGTGCTTCACAGATATCCTATTTCAGATATCATGTCCTTTTGCTCCATCTCATGTGGATATCCCTGGAAGGTTTAAAATCACCGAGCATACTTTTTATCATACATTTTTCCTGAAATGTCTTTTTTTCCTTTTTACTATGATATATTAACATGTTCACCAGAGAGAGAAGCCAATTATTAAATGAGGAACATTCTGAAATAGGCAATAATAATTATTTTTGTAATAACCAAAAGAATAAACAGACATCACCAAGCAGCAGAGAAGTCAATACTTTATTCAAATAGGTCACAAAAATTCCATACATGCGAAACATGTCATGCTGTACAAAAACCAATGTTGAAATCATCTATTTTTGAACTTCTTCCCAGATTGAGAATAACAGTGTCACAAGATCTTATCTGCTCTACAGTGCTCTACAAAACACTATGGTTCTGACAACATCTAGAATTCATAACCTAATCTAATCAGAAGGAAAACACATTTAGTACAAGGCTTGGAAACAACCACCCCTCGAACCTGGCATGGCCATTCTGCCTGATGGCATAGATGCAAACCCCTCCATTAGTTTGGCCCCACGGTGTTGAAGTCAATAGGAACTTTGTGAATCATTTCAGTGGAAAGAGATTCTGTGATAACATGGGCCTCTGAGAGGAGGGAAGCAGTCCTTCCTGTATGAGCAAATACAGAACACTGACGCAAGTATAAAGCGCAAAGAAAGAAAAGATGTGGTGGATATAGTTGAGCTCCTTCAAAATGAAAACATACCCTACGGCATCTCACATATTTCCTTTTCTAGCCAGAGAACATCTCTTCTTTGAAGAATCTGTCCAACTCCTTCTCATGTTAACTCTTCCTATAGCTGATTAGATTGTATTATAGAAGTTGATAGGAGAAATTAGATTAAGAAATCCTTCAGCTGTAACAATTATCAAACCAATGCCAGTGTGAGGAATCAATAGCCACATGCCCCTAAGAAATATGAACATTTAAAAAAATCTCTGATGGTCTGCCTCTAAGTAAAGACAATGTGAATATCCACCATAGCATCCACAATCCAAAACAGATAAAAGGGGAGACTCTGGCAATGCTGTCCTGAAAAACTGGTTCACTAAGAACATACTTTTAATAGCAGGCCATAAGAATTAGGAAAAACAAATTGACTCCCTTTATCAGATTAGCCTTACTAGGAAAGAAAAGACTCAACACAATACACTTCAGATATACCTATTTCCTACTCCTACCATTTCACTTTTGGTGATGTCTGTAGCACAGCACTCAAGATAAGGAAATGCCATTTTCAGTCTCAACTGAATGTTCTTTCTTGTGGTAAAACATTTTTTAGTAGCTAAGCATTCAGGGCTTGTGTGGTATAGCATTTCCTTTCATCTAACTGGAAAGTGTTTAACCCATTCATCTATGAGAGCAAGAAAGGTTTCTGCTGGATTCATTTGACTACAAATCAGAAGCCAGATCTGTCACACACACAAGCCAAATAATAATCCATCTCTGCTTCAAAGGAAACTTTCTCATAGAAAAATAATCTTAATGAAAAAAAAGACTGCTGATAGCAGAAAACAGTTAATACTTTTCCTGGACGAAAAATAATGGTAATGAATAAGGATTGAAATAACTTTTTAAAAATTCCTTTATCCTTCAGTGCTGGTTTTGAATGGAAAAGAGTGAATTTTATTCACAGTGGCTAGCATGGGACTGTCTTTCAGATTTGTGCTGAAAACAATGTTGATAACACCAGGATTTTCTTGTTATCACTGAGCAGTGCTCGGACAGGGATGAAGCTTTTATCTGCTTCTCATCCAACCCCCTAAGCAAGAAGGCTGCGGAGCACAAGAAGTTGGCAAGGGACACAGCCATAACAGCTGACTCCAACTGACCACAGGGATATTCTATCCTGTAAGTTGTCACGCTCAGCAAACAGAAGTAGGGGAAGAAGGGGGTAGGGGAAGGAGGACCACCATATTGATGGTGTTTGACTTCCCAAGTCACACATGATGTAGCTCTGCTTTCCTGGGTACAGCTGAACACCTGCTTGTGCATGGAAAGTGGTGGATGAACCTCTTGTTTCGCTCTACTGGCATGCGCAGCTTTTGCTTTCCATGTTAAACATTTTGTATCTCAGCCCACAAGCTTCCTCACTTTCACTCTTCTGATTCTGTCCCACATCCCACCATGCAGGAGTGAGCAAGCAGCTGCAAGAGGCTGAGTTGCCAACTGAGGATAAACCACAACACTTTTAGAGTTTCAATAATAGTTTACTAATAACTGGGAAAATGTAGACGTTAACTTCCATAATAATGAAATACATACAGATAAATCCAGCTGATAGAATGCAGTTAAGCATTTTAACATTCCATTTGTTCATAAGATTTTTAGAATCAACTCTTGTCCACCTCCTCCAAAAATATGGATGGAACAACAACTCAGGTCACTATGTTTTTAATTTGCAAATGAAAAATAACTTCAATTCTTTAACTTTTGTAGGTTCTCCTACTGCTTAACAAAACCCACAAAACCAAAGCAAGCCAAATACAATAAATTACACTCGTTCTTAAACCAGAATGGCAACCCATGAGGCTGCCCTATCGGGCTCTGATGAAAAGGGTTTCATCAGGAATTGTAGGGCAATTCTCCTTCTCTGTTACAGTCTCTACTGTGCCTGAAGCAGACACAATCACTACTGTTTTAGCTGCTGAAAGAGCTTTCTCCTTCTCTGCGATAGCAGCACAGACTGCTACAATTTCATCACTTTCAAAGTCATAGTCTGGGATTGATTCTTGTGCAAGCTCTTTTTCTTTTGCTAGTGCTTGCCCCAACTCAGTCTTTGTTGCCTTCTGCTGTTCATGTAGTTTCCTTGCCCAGGAAAGGTCCTCTTTCCATACTTCAGGGTTCATTGGAAAGGTGTGTAAGGATACCTGGAAACTTCGGATTGCCTATAAACAGAATAGGGAAGAAACAAAGATTGAACACATTAAAGCCTATTTCATTATAAAAATTGACAACAACAAAAAAAATACATACATCATTCAAGAAAGACAAAAGCCATTTTACTCCAACCTGTCTTTATTGGAGCAACCCTCTCTCAGTATAAGTTCAATACCAGCATCATCCCCAAACTGTGTCTGAAAGTATACACATGCATGAACAAACCGGGTACCTGGCAAAAAGGACACAAATAGAGTCCATATCTGAAAAAGTTAATAAAAAAGGTAAAGGCAAAAATAACTTTTGTTTTGATGGCTTTCTATTCCACTTTTCTCTCATCATCAGATGTATGGAAAGGCAAAAGCAGACTGATATGGTTTAAAGAAATACAGAAAAGGGATGACGAGAATTTGGAGCATCATTAATACTGTTGCTTTTAAATTAGCATGTAGTCATTTCACATACACACCTAATACTACAGCAATCCTAGCCCCATGATAAACAGTTTCTGTAACAGGTTTGTGGATACAAGCACACTTAAACGGGCAAAAGTAGGCAAATAAACTCCCAACCTGGAGAGCTGCTTTAAGAAAGAACTCCTATAATCTTATAAACGATGTCATAGAATCACAGAATCAACCAGGTTGGAAGAGACTCAAAGATCATCAAATCCAACCCTACCATGGTTACTAGACCATGGCACCAAGTGCCACATCCAGTCTCGTCTTGAAAACCTCCAGGGATGGTGAATCCACCACCTCCCCAGGTAGCCCATTCCAATGCCTGATTACTCTCTCCATAAAAAAATCTCTTCCTAATATCCAACCTAAACCTCCCCTGGCAGAGCTTGAGTCTGTGCCCTCTTGTCCTACTGCTAGATGCCTGGGAGAAGAGACCAACCCCCACCTGACTACAGCCTCCTTACAGGGAGGTGTAGAGGGTGATAAGGTCTCCCCTGAGCCTCCTCTTCTCCAGGCTAAACAACCCCAGCTCCCTCAGCCTCTCCTCATAGCACTTGTGCTCAAGTCCTTTCACCAGCCTTGTTGCTCTTCTCTGGACCTGCTGCAGCATCCAGGCCCACCTACTGCTCCAGCAGGGCTACCTGGAGCTGGTTGCACATGACCATGTCCAGATAGCTGATCAATTTCTCCATGGCAGGAGACTCAGTCACTTTCATTTGGTCCTTTGTTGGATTTTTTTTTTGTTTGGTTTTCTTTTTTTTTATTTCTTTAGTCAAAGTATGGGGCTCACTCTGTCTCATGGGAAGAACTGTTCTAATGAAGCTATGTAGTCTGAAATTGTTACTGGTTAAGACATCATCACCAATACGGTAAATAGAATTTGGAAAACCAAATATTTGAAATGAAATGAGAGAAATATTGTGAGCCTGACAGTGACTTGGAGAATTTAAGGAATTTCTGCCTTTACAGGAATACAGTTCTGCATGCTCACATTTAAGTATTACAGTTGAATTCTGCTATTTAGTAAATTCAGAAAAAAGGGCAGACTATTTTAAAGAAACCTAAATAAAAAGGGACTAATTTATCTAATTCTTTCTGTAACAAGTTTGACAACGTTAAATCAAAACAAACCTATCTTTGTTTGCAAGAAATTAACATATTACACAGCTCATAATTTAAATTAGGTTTGTTTGGAAGCTGTATTTTAGACTTGGGAAACCTGAAATTAAAATACAATAAGTTATTTTCCTAAGAAAAAAATGCATCATTCATTGTGAAGTTATAAAAATATTTACAACAGACCATTTGGCAGGATGTGGGTAATGAAGACAGTCATTGGTGGGGGAGAAATAAAACAAAAAAAAACAGATGAAGCTGCTTTTGAGAAGGGTGGTAATTCTCAAATCTCAAAAAAAAAATTACAAAAAAGCCCCTGATATTTATGCTTTAATTCTTCTCTGTAAAAAAAATTATAATAAAGTGAAATGAAAATTATGACAATGAAAGAACAGTGGAAAAATAATAATTATGACTTAGACCATTTGGTCAAGAAGCTTCCACAGACTCAATAATAATAAATTCATTTAATTCCCTTAGTCTTAACCTTTTAAGATTCCTTAAAAATTGCTTGGTTCAAAAATAAATAGTAAACATTATCTGTATTTTAGAACAACTTCCCAAGTTCTCTGTATGTGAGAAGATATTTATCAGAAGGCAGTTTCTTCCTTAAAGACAGAAAGGCAGTAAGGTAGGAACACGCAGAACCAAAGCACTGGTGACACCAACAGAAGCTTACACACCCTGGGCTACATACTCTGAGACAAAAAAAACACATTAAGGCAGCAAACTATCTGATGATAACCCATCCTCCCTCCCTCCTCACAGACAGGAACGTCGATGTAACAGTTATAAGAGCACCTATAGTACTGTTTCAGATCAGTAATGCACTTTGATGCAAATCTCTGTTCCCACTTAAAATGCTTTGCTTTGCATCCTGGAAAAGTCTCACACTAAACAAACTAGACGACTTTCTGATTAAGCTCAACAATGCACTCAGAGAGCACCTGAAGTGCTACTCTGAAATAAAACAAAATTAATATGATGTGAACACTAGATCTCCAGCATAATTAACCCCAGATATCCACTCCCATTGGTGTGATATGATTTGCCTGTGTAGACAAAGCTTGAAGGATCTGGTGAGCAGAGCTGGTGGTATAACTAATATGGGTATACCACTATCTATAATTGACATTATGGCAACTGTAGAAATTTTTTTCGGAATCGGCAGCTTCAGCTACCTACAATCCCTGAAGAAAATAAAACTTTGAATTTCCTGAGACCAATGCATTTAAACATCTCAGACATAATTTACAGTGACAGTTTCACACACTTACAGAACAGACCATTTACCAGACAGAACAGACCATTTACCCTTACTTACCTTCTACACCACAAAAGCTACAGAAAGTCATTGGTGGTGTAATGCAGATATGCATGGATTTACATGAAAGATTTCCTATTATGATCATAGAATCACAGAATTTTAGGGGTTGGAATGGACCTTACAGATCATATAGCCCCACCCCCCTCTAGCACGGGCTAGAACACCTCCCCACTAGACCAGGTTGCTCAAGGCCTCCTCCAGCCTGGCTTTGAACACTGCCAGGGTTGGGGCAGCCACCACGTTCCTGGGCAACCTGTTCCAATGTCTCATCACCCTTACAGTAAATAGCTTTTTCCTAATACCTATCCTAACAAAGAGCCCCTCCTCTGACTCCCTGGTAGGCCCCCTAATGATAATGCAACAACAAAAGGAGCACACTGCACATCTGGAACACACTGCTTTTGCCTAGGCTTTTGTCTAAGCGGACAAGAGCATCTCCCCTACGAAGACTGGCTGAGACAGTTGAGGCTGCTTAGCCTAGAAAACAGAAGGTGTTTTGGAGACCTCATTTCAGCTTTACAGTATCTGAAGGGGCTACAGGGGAGCCAGAGAAGGGCTCTTCATCAGGATCTGTAGTGATAGGACAAAGAGTAATGGATACAATCTCAAACAAGAGAAATTTAGGCTAGATATATGGAAAAATTCTTCATGATGAGAGTGGCGAGGCACTAGAGCAAGTTGCCCACAGAAGTTTTGGATGAGCCATCCATGGCAGTGCTCAAGACCAGTGCTCAAGACCAGTGTTCAAGTTGCTCAAGGCCTTGGGCAACCTGGTCTAATGGGAGGTGTTGCTGTCTGTGGCAGGATGATCAGAGCTAGATGATTTTTAAGGTTCCTTCCAACCCAAACTATTCTATGTTTAGGTGATTCTAGGTCATTCTCATTGTTTGGGTTTGGTTTGGTTTGTTTAGTGGGTTTTTGTAACACTGCTCCTTACATTTTAAATATTAGTTTTGCACACTCTTCTAACCTCCATCAAAAACAATTACTTTTTTTTGTCCTTGAAAATTTTCAGTCCAAACATTTTAACTTTGCAAAAACACTGTAAATTAAAAAATAATTATTTATGTCAACCAGCATACTACTATTCCTATTCAAAATAAAATCCGTATCTTTTTTTCTGAAAGCTCCCAATTACTTTTCTAATGACCTTTGTGAATGTGGCTGAATTTAAAACATCACTTGCTATGTTTCCATACTAAATAGCAGAGAACTGTTATAATCTACATGTTACATTATTTATAGACAGAGGGTGATATGACATGGAGGAAGAGTCTCCCTCTGCATCACATCATGCAACTAAGACAGCACCATGGCATACAGCTGCAGCTAGAAAGAAGATGTACTTCAGCCACTGGAGAGCCTCCCTGGCTTTCTGCTGTCTTATTAAGTGAAGAAGCAACTTCAGCCA